AATTAAAATAAATGAATAAATAAATAAAATTAAATAAATAATTATTTAAAAAAAATAATAAATAAATAAAATAATTCTTTTTTTTGTAGAGGTTTTTTCCCTATAGGGTACGTGCACTCGCCAGAAAGACAGAGAGACAAAGAGACAGAAAGCAAGAACTCATCCCCTGGGGGGATGGCCACACCACAATCCCTTCTCCTCCATTCTCCTCTCGGGATCTTGGGCACACACGCACACGTGCCCGGCGTGAGTTTAAGTTGCTGGATCCGGGACTGGAACCGCAGTTGGCTACATGGAAGTTCAGCGACATAGCCATTACGCTAACTGCTGATCCCTAAAATAAATCTTAAAAAAAAAAAAAAATCTACAAACTGGAATCCTCTGGGGAAAAACCTAACGGTAAGGCCTCAAACAATTCACTTAAGGAAGAATAAACCCTACATACGTATCAGCGGCCCTGCCTCCTTTCAGTCTGTCACAGACAACTCTGCGTTTCCTAAGTGGGACTGATGAAATGGTCCCAAGTGATGGTCTAGCCTCTTGGCTAAGTAGTGAGTCACTTATCATGCTTTCAGATCTGAATATTAAGTGCCACTATGAAAGGGATTTCTTTCTTTTTAGAGAATTATTTCATTGTATTAATTATTATTATTTTAAAATTTGACGAGAGAGAGAGAGAGAGAAAGCAAGCTGCCAGGTCCAGGACTCCAACTGTGGTAGGCCATGTGGGAGTCTAGAGACCCAACTACTACTCCACCTGCTGGCCCCAAAAGGTGTTTCTAAAATACGGCCACCTTTGGTGGTATGAAATGATGAGAATTTGATTTTTTTTCTCTTTTTTTTCTTGAGAGATTTTTGCTGTAGGGTGCATGAGCTTGGAGGAGAGACAGAAAAGTGAGAAATCACTCCCCAAGGGGGATGGCCATGCTGCAATCCCTTCTCCTCCATTCTCCTCTTGGGATCTTGGGCATGCATACACACGTGCCCCATGTGAGTTTTATGCTGCCGGGTCTGGGACTTGAACCATGGTCAACTACATGGGAGTCCAGTACGTATTACACCATCTGCTGGTCCTGAGAATTTAATTTTCTACATTAATCTGTCTCTTCAACTGTCTCTTCAACTGTTGGTGGTATTTGGGGAAAATACATACTGATCCTCAAGCTAAATGTAATACAGAGTCTATGTAATACTGCAAGATCAGGCTGCTTTTAATATGACTGTTTCCCTGTTACAATTCTGACAGTTTGACTTCTTATCAAAATCTCTATTCAAAAGAATGACTAAATGTATTCTTACAAATGTACAGCTGTTACCATAAAGACTAAAATAACATTCAAAAAAGGCTCAAAATAGAAGCAAATGATGACTTCTGAAAATGCCTTATTAAGTCTTAAAATAACCGCGTGTACAATGAGCTCGTGACTCAGACTGGAATCTGTGACAAAACTGGGCTGAGCACTTGTGATTACGGGGTGGTCTTTTACCAGGACCTGTGCAGTGGGACCTCCCGACAGATCCTTTTGGAGTTTGAAAGACTAAACCTCCCAGCGGGGAAAAAGTCCCCACATACTGGGGGTTGTTTAGGGCCCCCACCAAGTCATGCCTATCGGAGACCTCGGAACACAGCCTTACGTGGAAACCACATCTTTGCAGGCGTGATTAAGGCAGGGACAGAGATGGGACCACTTGGTTTAGGGGAGCCCTTAACCCAACAAAAGTGTGCTTGTAGGAGACAGTGAGGACACACCACAGAGAAGGCCGGGCACAGGCGGCGGCAGAGATGGAAGTCACACCACCACAAGCCAAGAACACCCGGGCGGCCAGCTGAGGGGGCAAGGAAGGCTTCCTCTTGGAGCCCTGGAGGGACTGTGGCCCTGCTGGCGCCTCGATGTCCACTCCTCTCCAGCTGTGAGGGGAAACGTCTTGGTTGTTCTCAGGCCCCAGTTTGTGGTCACCTGCTCCAGCGGCCCTTGGAACGAGCACCTCACCTGGCAGGGCGTGCTGTTCAGAAAGGCCCTGGCTCTTCTGGCAGGTACCCGGGCTGAGGTGATCTAGGGTGGGTCCTGTGCAGTGTGTGCCAAATACCGATGACCTCACAGATGGGAAAGTCAGTCCCTTCCTGTTCTTTGTCAACCCACATAAATCAAAGACATCTCAGTTTGGCACGACCGTTCACAGAGAGAGCAACTTGACCTGACAGGCTTCAGCAGGCATCTGTACCCTTAATTTTTATTCAAAAAAAAATTTTTTTTTGCCAGAGGATGTGTGCACTCACCAGAGAAAGAAGGGGGGATGGGGTTGGAGAAAGACCCCCATACCCCACAATGAGGTGTGGTCACACCATAATCCTCCTCCATTCTTGAATCCATGGGCATTTTGGACACACACACACATGTGTCCAGCGTGTTTTTTCAAGCCACTGGGGCTGGAGTTCAACCCGTGCGGTCAGCCAGGTAGGCTCTGGCTCCTTTAACTACCAGGCCAGGTGGTGGGGGGACTTGTAGACTTCTTTATTAGTTAAATTAAATTTACTGTTATTGTTATCTTTTTTTTTCTTTTTTGGGGGGGAGGGGTTTTTGCTATAGGGCATGTACACTCACCAGAAGGAGAGAGAGACAGAGAGACAAAAAGCAAGAAATCACACCCTAGGAGGCGTGGCCTCGCCGCAATCCCTTCTCCTCCATTCTCCTCTCGGGATCTTGGGCACGCACGCACACTCGCCCGGCGTGAGTTTTAAGCCACCGGGTCCGGGACTCGAACTGCGGTTGACTACATGGGAGTACAGTGACATAGCCATTAAGGCAACTGCTGGTCCCAATAAATGAACATTTAAAAAAAAATAATTTAAATAAAAAAGAAGTAAGATCCCAATACCTGCTACAACATGAGTCAACCTTGAAAATATTATGCTAATTAAAATAAGCCAGACATAAAAAGAGAAAAACCATATGATTCCATTTATATACAGACCTAAAGTGGTCCAATTCATAGACACGAGAGGGGCACGGAGGTTATCAGGGGCTTGGAGGAGGCGAAAATGTGGGGTTGTTTAGCAGGTATGGAGTTTCGGTTTTATAAGATAAAGACATTGCCAGGGTAGAGAGCAGTGGTGAGCACACAACACTGCAGATATATTTAATCTCACTGAACTGCACACTTCAAACAGCTAAGGGGGCTGGACAGCGGTGCATGGGAAACCACACTCGTCTCCAAGGATGATCCACACAGGAGGGTTCTAGATTTGTCTCTGAGTATGTGGGGCGCACACGCGTGCCTGTGACCCAGGGCTGGCTGAGGTAGGTGTGGACCACAGTGTCGAGACCCCATTGGGGTGTCATGTCTCTGTTTCTCTCTCACTTACTTACAGAGGAAATAAAAAAACTAAAAGAAAAAAATAAAGCAAGTCAACATAACCATCAGTGTTACTTAAAATAAAAGCAAGGGCCAGGCAGTGATGCAGCAGTAGTACCAATAGACCCACAGGTGACAGGTCTGGGTTCACATCCTGGGACCTCTCTAAGCATGTCAGGTATATACACATGCACCCATGTTCCAGGCCGGATGAGGCTGATGGAAGGATGGATTGTGATGTGGGAACTCTGATGGAGGGATGCATGTCTCTCTGTCTCTGTCTCGCTCATGAAATAAATAAATATATTTGAAAGATAAATAATTAAAATGAAGAACAACCAGGAACCAGCAGTTGGCATAATAGCTATGTAGCTGAACTCCCACGTAGTCGACCGCAGTTCGAGTCCTGGACCCAGTGGCTTAAACTCATGCTGGTGCATGTGCATGCGTGCCCAAGATCACAAGAAGAGAATGGAGAAGGGATTGCAGCGTGGCCACCCCCCCGGAGTGGGGCATAATTTCTCTCTTTCTGTCTCTCTGTCTCTGTCTTTGTGGCACACATGCCCTATAGCAAAATCCTTTCAAAAAAAAAAAAAAAAAAGACCAAAAATTGTAATTATGTTAAAAATGAACAGTTGAGGGACCAGCAGATGGCATGGTAGTTAAGGCACTAAACACTCACAAGTGGCTGCAGTTTGAGTCCCAGACCTTGTGGCTTATTTTCTCACTTTCTCTTGCATGTATGTGCACATGCCCTATAGCAAATTTTAAAAATGAAAAAAAAAGATAATAAAATAAAAAATTTTTTATAAGAGAGATTTTGCTATATGGTGTACACACTTATCAAAGAGACAGAGACAGACAGAGAAAGTGAGATATTACCCCTCAGGAAAGACGGCCATACCACAATTTCTTCTCCATTCTCCTCTCAGGATTTTGGGCATGCACGTGCATGCGCCCAGCAGGAGTTTCAAGCCTCCAGGTCCAGGACTCAAATTGCAGTTGGCCATGTGGGAATTCCAGTGCCTTAACCACTGTCACTTGGTGGCCCCAATAAATAATTCTTTTCTTTTGTTTGTTTAGAGAGATTTTTGCTATAGGGCTCATGAGCTCTCTGGAGAGAAAGAGAGATAGAAAGCCAGCGATCACTCCCAGAGGGGGATGGCCACGCCACAATCCTTTCTCCTCTTTTCTCCTCTTGGGATTTTGGGCACATATGGACATGCTGCCCAGCATGATTTTTTTTGTTTTTGTTTTAAGAGAGGTTTTTTGCTATAGGGCATGTGTACTCACCAGAGAAATATGGAGACAGAAAGTGAGAAATCACCCCCCGGGGGGATGGCTATGCTTCAATCCCGTCTCCTCCATTCTCCTCTCGGGATTTTGGGCATGAATACAGATGTGCCCGGTGTGAGTTTTAAGCTGCTGGGTCTGGGATTTGAACCATGGTGGATTATGTGGGAGTCTAGCAATGTAACCATTACACCATCTGCTGGTCTCCCCAACGAATAATTCTTAAAAAAAAAAAAAAAGAATAGTTGAGCAAACTTACCTTCCAATTTGCCAGTTTTTTAAACTCTATAATTTTTATCACTGCTCCCATGAGAATACCTAGAAGAAATAATACAATTTAATCTAAATTAAGATATGAAAAAGACTAATTATTCTAGAGAAGCTAAATATTATGTCTTGAAATTGTTTTTATTGAGTTCTTCAAGTTTTATGTCTAAAATCATATGACTGGAAATTAGTATGAAGTTTTATGAGTCATATGAGTTGGTCTATTTTTTTTTAAGAATTACTTTATTGGGAACCAGCAGTTAGCATAATGGCTATTTCACTGGCCTCCCACGTAGTTGACTGCGGTTTACGTCCTGGACCCGGTGGCTTAAAACTCACGCTGGGCGCGTGTGCATGCGTGCCCAAGATCTCGAGAGGAGAATGGAGGAGAAGGGATTGCGGCGTGACCATCCCCCCTGGGGGTGATTTTTCGCCTCGGTCGCTCTCTGTCTGTCTGGGGGAGTCCCCCCCCCTCTAGAAAAACCCTCTAAAAAAAAAAAAAAAAGAATTATTTTATTTAACTTTATTTATTTATTTATTTAAATTTGACCAGAGGGGAACAGGGAGAGAGAGAGGAAAAGTGAAAAAACAAGCTGCCAGGTACAGGATTCAAACCACAGTCGGCCATGTGGGAATCCAGTGCCCTTAACTACCACGCCACCTGCTGGCCCTCACATGAGTTTTTCACTTGCATCTCAGACAAACACACTATAAAAAAGTCTACAGAAATCTGAGGGGAAGTAAACACTGCAAAGTAAGACCCAAGGATACTCTGCCTGGCATGGAACACTGGATGCCTGTCATTTTTGCTATCTCTACCCATTGTCTTTTCTCTTTTCCTAGTTTTGTCAGAGGGCACATGTGCTTGCCATGGAAAGAGAAAGAGAAATAGAAAGGATGAAGGGGAGAAAGTGAGAAGGTACCCTCCGTGGGGAATGGTCAGGATGCAATCCCATGTCCTCCGTTTCTCCCTCCTTTTGGGATTTTGGGCAAGCACGCACACGTGCCCAGAATGTTTCTCAAGCCACTGAGTTCAGGACTCCTAATGTGAGGTTGGCCATGTGGAATCCAGCCACCCTAACCACCACATCACTGGCTGGCCTGTACACCCACCCATTTTCAGTGTGAGTGGTAGGATGTTTACAAGCTAAATTGGCCCTACCCTGTTTATTCCTCCCATTTTCCAAAAAGAACTCGAGATCACTTTCTCAGACTCAGATGGCAGCTCTGTGTCAAATATTTAGAGATCAAACTCAAGTGATGAACATAACCATAGTAAAAGTTCTGTGGAATTCCTGGAAGAGAATGGATCATCTCAGCTCAGGCATGTTTCCATAAGGCTGACAGGCTCATCACTCTTTGAAAGGTCCTACCAAAAATAATCCTTGAAGTATCACAGGTAGTTTACAATTGCTCTGTTCCTCTCTAGATAAACGATTCTGAACCCTGCTGGCTGGTCAGAATCACCAGGGAAACTCTCTGTAAAATGCAGATGCTCAAGCAGAATTCCAGTCTCTGGTAGGGGGTGACACAAAGCAAGTCTGCAGACCACTGCCCCGGGCCCCGAAAGTCAGAGTCCCCTTTTCTATAGGCGAACGTGCTCCCCTCTCTCAACAGCAGAAGGCTGAAGAAGCACCTTACTGGGAAGGGCAGGAGATCACCAGAACATACCCCTTTACTAGGAAAAGGACCTCACTAACACTAACTGCTGTGTGTGCATGGGATGGGGGTAGTTTAAGGTAAACAGAGAAGTTCATAAGGTATTATTCACCTGTCAAAGGCTGTTAAACAACCTAACCGTTCATTCAATAGCGATTAAGTGAACAGGATGTGGTATACCCATACAATGGGATACAAATAAAAAGGAATGAAGTACTGACGCATGCAACAACAGGGATAAATCCTAAAAATATATGAAGTGAAAAAAGCCAGGAGGCCACAAAAGACTCCATATTTTTACCATACCATTTATATAAAATGTCCAGAATGGGCAAATCTATAGAGATAGGAATTGTTGCCCAGGGCTGGGAATGAGAGGTTTGGGAATGACAGCTGACAGATAAGAGTTTTTCTTTTTTTTGAAGAGATTTTTGCTATGGGCGCATGTACTCGCTAAAGAAATAAAGAGAGACAGAGAGACAAAAGGCAAGAAATCACCCCCCACAGGAGGGATAGCGACACTGCAATCTCTTCTCGTCCATTCTCCTCTTGGGATTTTGGGCATGCGTGCACACGCACCGGGCCTGAGTTATAAGCTGCTGGGCCCAGGATGCGAATTACGGTCAGCTACGTGGGAGTCTAGTGACATAACAGCTGTTTCATCTGCTGGTCCCAAGGGTAAGAGGTTTCTTAGGGGAGTGATGAAAATGATCTAAAATCAATTGTCAGTCTGGGCAGAGGCACACTGGTAACATGACTAGACCCACACTGGAAAGGTCTTGGTTCAGGTCCTGGGCCCTTCCTGAGCATGCTGTGTTCCAGGCTCTCTGAACCTAGGGGTGGATTGTAGCACTCAGACTCTGTTGAAGGTGTCTGTCTCTCTGTCTCTCTGAGGGACTAAATGAATAAACCCCCCCAAAAAAAAAAAAAAAAAATTAGAGGTGACTTTGTTCCTCATCTCCCAAGAGACCAGGAATATATTGGAATTTAATTACTTATGAATTATTTTGTACTCACCAAAAATGATTTTTTGAAAATAGTTTACATACTTGGAGAACCCTTAAAAAATTTTTTGTTTTAGGACAGCAGGTGTTGTGGTGGTAAAGGTGCTGGACTCCCGTAGAGCTGACTGCAGTTCAAGTCCTAGACCTGTACAGTTGCTTTCTCACATTGCCCCCTCCTCACCCCTGGTCTCTCTCTGGTAAGCATACATGCTCTATAGTACATTAAAATAATAATAAATGGGACCAGCGAGTGGCATAATGGTCAAGGGGTGGACTCTTCCACATGGCCGACCACAGCATGTGTGCTCTCCTGAGAGACAGACAGAAAGCAAAAAATCAACCCCCAGGGGTGATGGCCACACCGCAGTCCCTTCACTATTCACCTATTGGGATTTGGGGTACACATGCAAATGCGCTGGGCATGAGTTTTAACCACCAGGTCCAGGTCTTGAACTATGGTTGTCCATGTGGGAGTCTAATGCCTGAGTCACTATGACACCTGCTGGCCTCAAAACAAAATAATTAAAAAAAAATATTTTATAGTGGGACCAGCAGTTGGCATAATGGCTATGTTGCTGGACTCCCATGTAATCGACCACAGTTCGAGTCCAGGATCCGGTGGCTTAAACTCATTCCAGGTACATGCGCATGCTAGCCCAAGATCCCAAGAGGAGAATGGAGGAGAAGGGATTGAGTGTGGCCATCCCCCTTGGGGGGTGATTTCTCGCTTTCTATTTCTCTGTCTCTGTCTTTCTGGTGAGTGCACACACCCTATAGCAAAAACCTCTCAAAAAAAATTTTTTTTACAGCATGTATCATCAGTTGTAATTGTAGAATCAAGTTATACATAATTAGATGATTTTTGAAAATCCAATAATTGATTCTGCTACTTATGCTAAACCGGACACCCCAAGATATTTAAGAAGACAGAGTACCTGCCAGGAAGTCGAAGACCAGTCCCTCAAAGATGACTGTCTCTCTGTTTTTTTGGGGAAAGGCCATTTATATATTTTGTTTTTAACTAATTTTCTTTAACATGTATGTGAGAGTGAACAAGTGAAACACACACACACACACACACACACACACACAGAGCAAGAGAGTGAGATGGGCAGCACATTAGCCCTGTGTCACAGGGCCAGCCTGTCTATGCTTTTAATGTAGCCCACTTTTCTTAGAGGAATGTTATTACTTACTAATCAGCAGATGAGGAGAATATGTACACAGCAAAAGAGGGTATTTACAGAAATCTGCCCCAAAACAGCAAGTTTCAGAATGCAATTCTTTTTTGGGGGGCAGAGGGTATATGCACCAGATGGAGAGAGCACCCCACAATGGGGCAGCGTGATCGTGCTGCAAGCCCTCCTCTGTTTCTCTACCAGTTAGATTTGAATGCATGCACACATATGTGCTTGGTGTGTTTTTCAAGCCAAGTCAGGATTCAAACTGTACTATCAGTCATATAGGACCTGACTTCTTCAAGCAGCAGGCCACAGGGTTAGCCCAGAATACAATCCCCCTTTTTTTTTTTTAATGTTGTCACAGGGCACATGCTGAAAGAGACACAGACAGTGAGAGAAAAAGTGAGATCTGACCTTCCCCGTGCTGACATCGCAATCCCTTTTCCTCTATTTTCCTCTTGGGATTTTGGGCGGGCATGCATGCACATCCAGCTGGAGTGATTTTCAAGCTACAGATTTGGGACTCGAACTGTGGTCGGCCATGTGGTAATCCAGCGCATTAAGCACCATATCACCTTCTGGCTCCAGAATACAATTCTTAAACAACTTTCTCCCTCTCCTTTTAAAATTCAGACGATCTCACTTTTAAGCTGAGACATCTGGAAGACTGAAGTATATAGTACAACTTGAAGATGATAAAATGCCAAACCAAAAGAAGATGACCGTAGGGGCTGGAAGATGGCATGGTGATTGAGGCACTGGACTCCCACATGGCCGACCATGGTTCAAGTCCTGGACCTGGTGGCTTGCTTTCTGACTTTTCCCTCTCTCTCTCTCTGTCTCTCTCTCTGGTGAGTGCACATGCCCTGTAGAAAATTAAGAAGTGATAATAATTATAAATAAAATTAGTAAATAAATAAATAAACAAAAAGATGACCATAAAACTAGGAAAGGCAAAGCAAGACTCAGGCAAAAGTATGAAGTTATTACACAAGAACACACATTTAGCTAACAGCAGCAAACCAGCAACGAGACATGACAAAAATAAATTGTCTCCTCTGATCCATGTCTTCAGAAACACTGAGACTAAAAGTCTATACTAGCAACTCCACCTAGGAATGTGACAGCCTGGAAAACCCTCAGAGCCTAATATGGTCATCCTGCTGATCTGACTAGGAATTTGGGCCTCTGCTTTTAAGACAGCTGT